TCAAGCTCTACAACTTTGCTTCAAGGAACATTTTCAAATTTTGCCTCCATTTTAAAATTTGAATTTGGGGTGCATTTGAGTATTTGAATCATTTCAAAATTACTCCAAATTTTATATGTAAACTTGAAAAACTTTGAATACCAAAGTTGATCCTTATAAAATAAGCTCCAACTTTGCTTTTTGTCACAACCCCAAATTCCCAATGGATTTTGAAATATCCAAAAGGGGCAAAAAGGACTTTTATAATTTAAAGTTGAATTCAAATTTGATTTGTTTTCCTTTTGTCTCAAATTTGAATTTTGACCAGTAACTTGGCCCATTATGGTTATTTGAGTCAAATGACACATGGTCTCACATGATGACATGAAATTTGACCCTTGTGGTCGTGATCTTTGTTTAACGTTTTGAATCACATTGCATCACATAAAATAACAACTTATGAAACAAATCTTATTTAGTGAATGCATTCCAAATTTTCTTCTTTATGAATGGTTTGCAATGCATATGATGACATGTCAAGTTTTAGTTCTAGGTCAAAACACCAGAGGTGTTACAGCTGCTTCGTTGGATAGACTTGTCAACTGTGTTGCTTGCATACACAATCGAGGTAAGTTCGTATCACTACAATTCAAAGGAACGCCGACGTGCAGTTGTATTGAAATTCAAATTTCTTACCACGTATCTCTATAGCGGGGCTCTCTGAAGTTGTGTCTCCATCCTTGTTGCCTCGTTGTATGCATCAGCAGTGTCATCCTTGTCTTCATCCTCATCAATTGGCTTGTTAGTGTAGGGGGCCTGCATATGTGTGCGGGTACTCCTATGCAACCATTGGAGATAGCGGTCGAAGTTGCACTGGTCGTGCGGCGGTTTCTTGGTGATTAGGACTCTTTGCCTATTCTTCCAGTCATGGATGTACCCCGCGTGCATCATGGTCCAATTCTTCTCCTTGTACTTGTAGGTATGCCTTTGAGTATTTTTGTCACTAACCATTTGAGGTTTGAAGCAAAAAGAATGAACGATGGTGACTCAAGGTATGTCCAACCAATCATCATGCAACATTGAATCACATCCATCCAAACTTGACTTTGCCTTGCAAAATTCAGGCCTGGGGGATGGGCTTCTCTAAAAATCTTATGCCATGTTGCTAATTTATCTTGGTTATCTCAACCTTTAAATCATGCTCAATAACAATCATGTTTTTTATCTCCAATTGAATAAATCTCTATAATGCTTTCATGCTACCTTTGTTTGCCATAGTATACTTAAGGTTTGAAGTATTTTCATACACTTTTTAAATTAGGCATGGTACTTAGTTTAAACCAAAAGGTGTGCTGGTTTTACTTTCACAGCTGGGAGAATAGGCAAAGGGTCCTGATCGCCGAGAAATTGCCGCACGACCAACGCAACTTTGACCGCTACCTCCAATGGTTGCATTGGAGTACCCGCACACATATGCAGGCCCCCTACACTAACAAGCCAATTGATGAGGACGAAGACGAGGATGACACCGCTAATGCATACAACGAGACAACAAGGATGGAGACATAGCTTCAGAGAGCCCCGCTATAGAGATACGTGGTAAGAAATTTGAATTTCAATACAACTACACGTCGGCGTTCCTATGAATTGTAGTGATATGAACTTACCTTGATTGTGTATGCAGGCAACATAGTTGACAATTCTATCCAATGAAGCAGCCGTGCGACTTCACGAGACCAGAGGGGAGCCGCACGGCATTCTACACGTCTTCATCGATGTACATTCTATTCTCAAAGCAATGACAGTGGTTAAATGGTTCCCATGACTCATTCATCCGTATTTTCTTTTTTTTTTCAGAAAGTGAGGAGGAGCTGCAAGAAACTGGCATAGAAGCTCAGCTGCGTGGATACTATGTGGGAGATGCCCTATTCTCACGTGGATGTCTTTCTCTACACTAATAATCGAAAAAGAGGTACCTAGGGTCAAACTTGTCTGCACCATCGATCCACTGAAAGAAAACACACCTCTCATGGGCCTACACAACAAGATTGCAATAAAATATTAGTAGCCTACTTACACAAATAAAGAAAAAAAAGATAGTAGAAATAAGTACTTACATTAAAACGACTGTATGTGTAGAAGCAACACGCCACTGTGTCTGGATATCTCGATTGAAACATGTCGGTCGGAAAACCACAGTCATAGTTAGGGACATGGAGGTCAGGAGGGACAGGGCATCTTTGCTAGGAGCGTCGAGGTATAATTCTATAGGACGACCCCGTTTTCGCTAAAACTCCTCCTGATACATGTCTTGCATCTAACAAAATGGTTGTAATTTAACAAACAAAAATCAAAACATCACAAATTAATGTCAATGAGAACCATTTGCATTACAATAAATAAAATATAACCTACACTTTGGTGCAAACTCTATCTTAGATGTAAACATGCAAACTATATAAAACTATACTTTGGTCACTAAAAATAAAATTTGGTACATCAACGGTGTGTCCATATATTTATTCACATATAAAAGTTGAGATGCAAACTCAAACAAGCAAAATTCATATAAAAATGACCTTAGAATACATGGTAATCATAATTCTAACTAACCAATTAACCTTAACATTGGCAATCCTAATCCTAATCCAACGTTCTAATGAACTCATATTTTCCTCCATACCCTAACTACTCATTCAAATCCTTCGATCCACCATGGAGGCCGAGGAGCTTTATTACCTTGACAAGGCCGAGGAGGAGCTTCGAGGAAGATAGGGAGGGGCTAGCAAGGGAGGGAAAGTCGGTGGCTGGCCATGGGGGAGCCGGGAGGCAATGGCGCGAGAGCCGCGAGCAGCCTCACCTCGAGTTGGGTAGACAGAGAGGAGGGAGCCAGCGCCGCAACGGGTAAGTAAAGCCTCGCCGCGCCATGATGCACGGCGCGTCGGCCCCGCCACGTCAGCGCTCGCCGCGACCATTGACCTCCCCATGCCGCGCCGCCATGCATGGCGTGGCAGAGTGAATTTGGCGCGCCATGCAAACATGCGCGCCCAAAAGTGTTACTGTTGAAAAAAAAAACAAACATTGTTAGAATTAAAAATAGTTTTAAAAAGTGTTAAAAATAAAAAAAAAATCATTAGGGTCAGCACTGGGTGCGCTTGGATTCTGGTTTTTGTGCGCGCGGGGTCGAGCACACCGTTGCGGCACCGGCTTCGGGGCGGAAGACCTAGACGCGGTGGCGGCATCCAGCACGCAGGCTTACGCCCAGCACAAGCTCCTCCGCAAGTTCACGGACCTGTATGCGCGGTCCAACCACCATCCCGCCCTGCCGCAGCCTCGCCCTGCGCTGCGTCGCAAGTGCTCGTCCCTCCGCGTGGCATCGGACCTCTCCGCGCAGGGGACTCTGACACGGTGGCGACGGCCGTGGGGGCACGTAGATGGAGCTAGCAGCGCCCAATAGACGGAGGAGCATCGGCAGGTGGAGCTAGCGGCCGCGGGGGCATGGAGCTGGTTGCTGCGGCGTGCCTGGATCCATGGTAGATAGCATTGGAGCAGCGGCGTTGACTATCTGAGGTACCTTCCTCTTATTGATGCAACCATGATGATTCTACAATTTGTTGATTTAGGAGCATTGTTTTGATCTGAAGAATCTACATATGCCGTTTTGATTGTGTCGATCTGAGGTTGCTGATGGAAACGACTATTGGTTCTTCATATTGTGCTAGAACAGAGTCCATTTTTTCTTCTGTGTCTTTTCTCGTTGTTTACTTATGTATAAACTGGTTGGTATGCAGATAGTGGTACATCAGTTAAAACTGTTAGCTATCTGAATCTACATCTTTAGTGTATCAGTTCTGAAAGCTATCTGAATCTGCAATTGTATCATTTCTAAAAGTTGTTAGTGTATCAGTTTTTGTTAGCTGCTAAATTGTTAGCTTTCAGAAAGCTGAAAACTGTTCAGTTAGTGCGATATCTCAGTTAGCTTTCTCAGCTGAAAACTACTATCAGTTGTTCGTCTGATCTTCTCCTTCGTTCTGTTTGTTTACAGGATGAGAACCAGAAAGCTAGTTGTAGTCATAGCAGAACCAGCTGCTGATGTATGGAGCTATCATACTTTTATTTTTATTTATTTTTATTTTTTTGGAACGGCATGCTTTTATTTTCTAATTTCATAGTATCTTGAAAATTTGCTAATTTCTTTGGCTGCCATGAGAAGGGCGGGCCTGGTGCAAGCGGTAGAGTCTTACCGCCTGTGATCGGAAGGTTCCGGGTTCGAGTCGTGGTCTCCTCGCATTGCACACGCGAGGGTGTAAGGCTTGCTACTGACACCCTTCCCCAGACCCCGCACAGAGTGGGAGCTCTCTGTACTGGGTACGCCCTTTGGCTGTCATGACGATGTATGGAGTTGCAGAAATGCCAATGCATAGTACCTTGAAAAAATTCTAATTTCTTTGGCTTCATTTTGTGTAATCAACGTAGCTGTGAATCCATTATCTATCAAATAGCAACACAATGGTATACAAAATGATATTCATGAATGATTTTGGCTACATGCAAAGCATTAAACAGTTTGCAGACGACCCCTTGTTTGTGGGTTGTACGATCCGTCTTTCTAACTGTCTGTACATCATATCCGAGGCTCTTACAGACGACCTCCCGTCTGTGGATTGTACATGCCCTAAGTGCCTTCTTTTGCACTCAAAAGTTTTAGCATGGATTAATAAACTTGCCAAATTGTACAATATCATTGTTTGCACAATTTATAAATTTAGGTTTAGTAATTTTATTAAAGTACGCTGGCAAATACAGTCGCCACAGCTTACATGCATGCATAGTCATGAGATGAATGTCTTGAGCAGGAAATGTACAAAACACAACACAACACAAGAGAGAGTATGTGGAAATTACAAGAAAGTGACACAAGCGCAAACCAAATCATTTATTGGAGACTCATGTATAGATCCCTCGCAGACAGAGACGCAGAGGCCAAACACACCACGCACATCATATAACCAGTGCCTCTTTTAAGTAAACCTGGCTGGCGCTTGTGCTGGTGATATCGAGATTGAAATAGGATGGTTCCTTCCATAAGCGGCCCAAACGAAGATTGCTATGAAGAGCCATGATACGCTGAATAAATCTGCCAGGACTACAAATGTGTACACCCGTAATGTCCAGAATGTCCCTTTTCTAGCATGTAGTGGTAGTGCAAAAAGGAACCAATTCAGCCAAAAGTCAGCGAAGTTGTATAACACTACAAGAGGACTCACTGCACAGATCAAAATGGCAGTGTATTGAGCAACAGGAGCCAGCACTGTGTACACACCGAGTGCGAAGGCAATCGTCAAGGCCATAACGGAATTGTGCATGAAGCCCGTGGTTTTGTCAAAATGGATTTTGCGTCTTACCAAGCTAAGCTTTGCACACCCAGCAAACATGAAACCGAGAGTAGCCATTGTGGAAGAAATGAAAGCAATTGTGTTGGCTATCATGAATGCGTGAAAGGCATACGTCCCAGCAAGTGTAGGTGTACCTCCAAACTGGTGATCGTCAGCTCTGTAACCACCAGGCAAGGCAAACATTGCACCGAACGTCACAGTTGCTATTAGAACAGAGCCAATAGATTGAGACTGCGTCGAATCTTTCAACATCTCCAATTCTTTGTCTTTATAGTAGTCAGAGTTTACTCCATGATGATTTTCATACTCTTCATAAAAATGATCCATGCGAGAAACACCTCGAGTAGCACCAGCAATTATGAGTGCCCTCTTTATCCAGATTTCAGGGTCCTCCTAATATATATATAAAAAAAACAGGTACAAAAACATGTTACTTTCACCTTCAAACACACAGGCATATATGTAGGATTCAACACTATGTTGTACAACAACAACAATAAATAATAAAGCAAGAGGAGGAGATATGCACGATTACCATTACATCATAAAAAGATGGGCGGAGCTGATACAGTGCTATATCTAGAGGCGTTTGATTTTCTGCATTTGTTAAATTCAAGTTGACTTGTGTGCTCCCAAATAGACCACGAAATATACCAAGATTATTCCCATCCTTGACAGCTAAGTGTAGTGCAGTGTTCCCTTCTCTGTCTTGCATATTCATAATCCATGCTAGAGATCCACTTCTGCAAGCATAGAACACTGCCATCGCATTCTTTTTCTCCACAGCAACATGAAGGAACGTCCTCCCCTTAGCGTCACGCAGACCAGCACTGCTGGGGCACTTCTTCACGAACATGGGAATGGCATTGCTTTTGGCCCAAAGCCAAACAATATTATTGTCTGGTTGATACTGAAAAGGCCCATTGGCCTGTGCTGCAACAGCCACGTGTATGGGGGATAATCCATTATTGTCTGGTTGATACAGAACAGCGGTGTTGGCGTTGAACACTTGTGCACATGGGCTTCCACGCCATCCTGCCCCCGGCAAGCCTGCTGCTAAGTGAAGTGGCGTACTACCATTTTCATCCGTTTCTGTGGTAAGCTTCTTACTCGTGTTCCATTCCAATAACATTCTTGTAAGCACTGCAAAAAATATGGACAAACTCAAATAAGCATGGGAGAAATGATCGACCCGTCTCTACCCCATTATGAAAAACACATAAATTAACTATCCCTAAGTTTGTATCTAAATTACCAACCTCTACCATTAAATTTAAAATAGTCCTATGAATTTACATTTCAATTACCCATCATGGAAGATAATTAAAAAAATACCCTAAAAATTATCCATATTGAAAGGTAATGAAAATCAACTATCATAACTTTGCATCTAGATTACCCGCATTTATCATTATGAAAGATAATATAAATTGACAAATTTAGTTCATATCTAAACTACTCACATCCTCTGTCGATTCTACGCACAAGTACCAATATATGTTGTTACAGAAAATAACTCAATAGAAATAAAATATACTCTACATATGTTTCTAAGCTTACGCACCTCTACCACTATAGCACAATGTTGTTTGACATCGTGTAGATGCATGCATTATGACAAATATTTATTTTAAAAGTTTCATAGGCATGGAAAATTGTTCCCCACATAGTACCCGTGACATTGATTCTTTAGTTATATGATGAATAGTCCATGAATATAATTCATTTCAAGTTACCCTTTCAAGAAGTTTATACATTTTGACCGAAACATTATTATTCTAAATGCTGCAATTTAATTTGAAGCACTTAATGCTTTTATAAAACAATATTATTGCAATACAAAAAATCAACACCTTGAGTACTATGGTGCATGCATGTTCTATTTACACCATTAGATTAAAAAAATAAAAATATAGTCTATCACCTATATTTTTTCTTGGGAAAGTTTTAAATCGAAGATATAATAAACACTAGAGTTTCAACTTAAAATGTGGATTAAAAACTAAATAACTAACAAGATCAATAGTTGAAGTCCAGAATATATATAGATTCATGATGTAACAAATAGGGATGTACAAGAGTTTTTCAACTTAACCGTAGGCTTTAAATGAATATTATCGAGGACCTACGAAGGTGCAGTGCAAAGGACGACAATACGGGCGTGTTTGGAATGCTAGCCCGACGGCCCGGCTGCGCCCTCCAGCTGCAGTGCGCGTGTTTGATGCTGTTGGGCCGTCGGGCTCGCACGCTGCTCAAAAGCACCCAACAGCCCAGCTCCGAGGAAACGAAGGGGGGTCCGTTTTTTCACGGCCTGGTCCGGTGGAGCGAGATGGAGCGCACGGGTGAGCGAGCTCGTCACCTCCAGGCCTCTCACCTTGGAGCGAGCAGCGGCGGAGGTTCCCGTGACTGAGACGGCAAAGGCAGAGGCGGTGAGGCTGCTCTGCGGCGGGGTACGCCCGCGCAGGGTTGGCGAGGCCGCGGCTCCATCCGTCCTGCGCCTGAGCGCGTCGCATCGGATCTCGGCGTCAGTGACGGGCCTCAAGGGCAGCGGGCCCCAGCCTCCTCTACCACAGCACCCGGGGGCGGGCGGCGGCGCTGCTGCAGGCTCCTGCGGTCGACCGGTCATACCTCCTCTGTGGGCTACGACTCGATGGCCAGCGGAGGGCTCCTATGCAGTCATGGCCGGTCGGGATGTACATGGCCAGCGGAGGAGGAGGCGGCGCTGTGCAACGGCGGCGGCGGTAGTGCCGGCGCACGCGGCGCACAGGAGCGCGACCACGACGTGCTAGACGCGCTGGCGCGCGCCCTGAGGAGCACGGAGGCCGGGTCCCGCGCTCTGTGCTTGCGGTCGCGGACGGCGGCTCCGAGCTCGTCCATCGCTGACGTATTTCCCGTACCAGCTGGTGCTTCCCGCGCCGCCGGCCACCGCAGGCGTGGCCTCTGCAGCGGCGCCTTCCCCTGCTGAGGGCAGCATGGTTGTCCGTCCACAGCAGAGTGCGCCCCGCCGTCACGCCAGTGCGGTGCTCGACGAAATGTCAACATGGAGAGAAAGGTGAGAGGGTGGTGGTAAGGCTACCGAATTTCTGCACTGCAGAGTAACCATAACCATTTGTGCCCGAAATCAAACACGATCTCAATTCAACCGGGCTTGTCTAGGCCAGTGAACCAAACACATGAGGTTACACCCTAGGAGCCGCGCTCAGGCTGGCCAGAGCCAGGCCGGCGAGCCCTGCTGGGCAGGGACAACTTACCAAACACGCCCTACGTATCTCAATGTTACTAACTGAAGGTGCAGTGCAAAGGACGACAATACGTATCTCAATGTTACTAACTGAATGTCCTCAATGAACTTCCACGTAAATCCTAGAAATCTCATGAAAACAAGAAAGAATTGGCTATCATTTAGGTATAGACTCTAGTCACCATTGATATAATAGTCTCTAGATCTATAATATTTTCTAAAGAAATTATCCATCTCTGTCACTGAAAAACAACATAAAGTAACACATGTATCTGTATCTAACTACCCACCTATGCCATCAGCCCATCATAGAACATAATACAGTGTAAGTACGCTTGCATCTAATTACCCACTTGCTACTATGATAGGTTATCTTATTGACTCCTTAAATTTTCATCTAAATTACCACTTATATATGCCATTATTTAAAAAAACTAAACATATAAAATGAATTATCGACATCTGTATTACAAAAAAAATGTCTAAATCTAACTATCACTAATTGGAGCCTCCAACGGAGGCACCACGTTTGTCACTAGACGCGCTAGAAAAAAAAGATAAAATTGTAGAAATTCTCATAACAATCAGATATAAATATCTGGCTTTAATTTGATGGACTCTAATCATCATCATTGAAAATAGCCATTGGATTTATATAATAATTTATAAAAAAAAATTCAAAATAACCCTATAAATTACCCATCTCTACTATTATAAAAATAATTTAATCTAACCCCCTAATTTTGCATCTAAATTACCCACATTAGCCATTATTAAAAGTAGTTCAAAATAACCCCCTAACATTGCATCTAAATGACTCACCTTTGTCATTGTGAAGATAATTTAAAATAACTCTCTAACTTTGTATCTAAATTACATACACCTCCCATTATGAAAGATAATTTAAAATATCACCTAATGATTTTGTAAATGAGAAAGATAATGCAAAGTAGTCCCTAAATTGCATTCAACCTATATGCTATTATGAAGGATAATATAAAGTAACCCTTTATATTTGTTTCTACCTAGTATTAAATAACCATAATAGACATATAAATAACCATAAATCTGGGACGGAGAGAGTAGAAAATATGTATAGAAAAAATAATAATCCAGGTAGAAAATTGGTACATGTACGAGTGGTGTATATATAAGAGCAGGAAGAATAATGCCGGCTTCTTGTGCGTACCTGGGCCTCGTAGAACGGCAGCATGCAACGCATTTTGTCCATTTGGGCCGGAATAGGACAGCACATTATTTTCAGACTCATTATACAATATCCGTGCAATGCTGCCTTTTTCCAGTAGAATGGCTAGGTAGAGTGGTGAAGTTTCTTTTTCAGGAAAACAGGCCAATTTTGGGTCTTCTGCCAACAAATGTTTGACCAATTGATGATCCCCATTACGCACAGCCATATGCAGGACCGTCTCATTACTATTGTTCTCCTGTCTTAGGAGTTCTTCAACTATGTTGTCCCCAGTTGCTAGAACAACAAGATGAGAGACCATTTCGGACCTCGCTGTCCTGGCAGCACAATGCAAGGGTGTGTCACCCTTGTCATTTTGCTTCCACAGCAGGTCTTTGTCCTTGCCGTGGATTAGGACGGCGCATTTCAGGAAGCTACTATCATCCCCATTGGCTGCCACCAAATGCAGTGCCGTGTCTCCTTCCATGGTGACACCCTTGATGAGACGACGAGGCACTGCACCAATGCCTTGTTCCACGTCAGCAGGAGCTGGCTGCATTGCCGCCGCCGAGCTTCTGCTGGCCTGGTGGTTACCTGTGGAATATGCCGCTAGCTTATCAAGAAACTCTTTGCTAGGAGTCTTACTTGAATGCCTGTGCAGGTCTTCTTCGCTCTCGAGAAGATAGGTAATTTCTTCCCAGTTGCCTCTGCATGCTGCCTCCGCTAGCAGCGGATGCATGCTTGGCGGTGTAGGCTTCTCGTCGGCCGGTGCTTCTGCCCTCGACATCACCACCACCATCGTGGTAGCGTCTTCCTTGTTCACCAGTTTTTTCAGCCGCTGGCATTGTGTGCGGTCTGTGGCCACCATCAGATTGGCACTGATTGGCTCGTCTTGGTGGGTAGCCGACGACGATGTCATCGAGTTCTCCACCAGGTTGCAAGCAACTCTCCCCTAACTTCCTAGTTACAGTGGGACCCTCAATGTGTAATAAGGGACCGTTGTGCGTTCAACGGTGCCGTTCACAGGTCTGGTTCAGACCAGCCAGCCAGCCAGCCAGCCAGCTGCTTCTCCTCTTAAGTTACTGTTCACCAAATCAGCCGAATAGTATTTTTTTCTCACAATAAATCAGTTGGAACAGTGTTTTTCAGCCAAGTTTTAGATCAGTGAACAGAGCCAACACCGATACTGCACTACTCCTGTTGGATTGGAACCTTTTGGCTTTTTGTTCTTTTCTCTAATTTCCTTCTGTCGGACGAATCGGATCTAGATATATATATAGCATGCATTTGATGTCTGCTGGCACTTTAAAAAAGTTCCACATATTGTAACTTTTCCAGAGAATTCATAGTTTTCATAGTTCTTGACTTCTTGTTTAAAAAAACTCAATGGATATATATGACGTCAAATCTGTCACCAAGCTAGAGATACCAATAAGTAGGAGGTTCAACACAACGAATTAACAGAGAGAAACTAGGGACACGTACGCTGTTGAAGACAGTTGACTAAGTGCCTGAGCTGTTTTTTTTCCAAACACTTATTTTGAATTGTTTTTCTTCTCCTCTCATAAAGATATGAGTTGGGATGAAACTAAAAAAAAAGTAGCATGTCCCAGCTTTCACCTGACACATGTGGGCCCCATGGTACCAAAGACTAGTTTTGCCCAGAGAGAGAGAGAGAGAGAGAGCGCATGCCTTGGGAAAGGCCTTGCGCGTCTTGGCTGCTCGCCGGGCGCACCCTCGCCAGGCGCAGTCCACCTCGGTAGCTGAGCCTTGGGCGCCGCCGCCATGGGCGTGGGCGTCTGATGGGCGCTGGTCCGCTGGTGGCGTGACCACTGGGGTGCAGCTCGCCGGGTGGCGCTTGGTTGTCGGGCGCTGACCATGGCGCGGCGTGGCTGGCAGGCGTGGCGCCGCCACCGGACCGCACGGCGCGGCTGGGCTCGGCTGCACATCGCTAGTGGTGGTGGGCGCGGGGCTCACCCTCTGCTGGGACCGGCCTGCATGGGAGCGCCAGCGGCTCATCCTGCTGCTGCTTGGGACCGGACAGGACGAGGGCGCAGGCGTCGGGGCTCACAGCAGCTCAGGAAGAAAGGCCGGGGAAGAAGATAGGAAAAAATAAAGAAAAGAGAAAGCTGACGGCACTACGGTATTTTTTTTGTTTTTTCATCACATGAAGTTGTTTTACCAAATGGGGTTAAAAAAAGAGCTCAGCTTCATAGGTAGAGCTGCTCATTGAGCTGAAAAAAAAAAAATAGCTTCATTAGAGCTGTGCCAAACAGGGCCTAAACTAAACTTTTGTTAAGTGGACCTGCCATCCATTCGATCCTTACTGAAGCGTCGCTATTTTGTCTTCCTCCGGCCTCCTTGTCGAGCTCAATGTTGTTTTCCTCTCTGGGCCTAAACATAATGATAGGCCGGGACAACGATCCGGTTCTCGACCGGAAGGCCTGACCAAGGTGGGACCGTAGTCCAGCTCCGACCTCCTTCTCCGACCAAGGATACGCCAGACCTCTGCGCTGCTCTTTTCCGACCAACACGGTCGGGACCGACTGGGAACGATTGACCGGGGACACCCGCTCGGTGAAGGTCCGGAGATCAGGCGGAGCAGATAAGGTAAGGCGCTCAAGTCAACCGTAATACCAAGGACCGTACCCTGCCATGCCCTACGCACTTGCAGGATGGTGCCACTCAGGCCATGCCAGACGGGTACTATACAACCTTCAAGACGCGTCAGAGCACAAACAGTATTGTAGGCGCCGACGTTTGCCGTACCAGGCGAACACGGTAGAGTCTGCCAGATGCGTCTGAACATAAACAGTATTGTGGGCGCCAATAACCGTCTCATACCCGACATCATAGGTAACAAGACTAGGTAGCACATGTATACACACACACTCTCTCTCTCGACTTGTAAGGCCATCCCCTTCAACTATAAAAGGGGGTGAGCTGTCTCCTAAACCCCCTCGGTCTCTCTCGAGAAAAAAGAGGCTAGACGACTCAAGCACTCGACAACCTGAGGACTCGAACAGTTCAACAACTCTAGAATTCGATAGCTACACAGAGCATACGCTCCAATACTTAGCGCACGTTAGAGCACCCGTCACTCTCTTCCATTCGGCTCAGAGTCCGACCGGGCCTCTAACACCCTCCTTCTCATTTCTCACTCGTTTGTAACCCCACAGCAAACTTCGAGCACCTGGGCTTAGGAATAAAGTCACCGACCGATTGAAACTGGACGTAGGGCACGTTGCCTGAACCAGTATAAATCCTGTGTCATTGAGTTCTAGGCCACATCCGATCACAACGCACGGCAAAACTACAAATATTTACTTGTTGGTCAAATTTCGCACCGACAGTTGGCACCGTCCGTGGGGAGAACGCCATGCGTTCACGCCTTTGGTCATCGGATGGCCCACCTTTCCACCATCTTCGCCACGGCGGGCTCGAACGATACGATTCGCTTTGGCTCGCTGGAGTTTCCCACGCTCCCACCTGTTGGGATGTGGGTTCTTCCCGTCTTCGTGCCACTCTAGACATTCCTCTTCAGGAGTCTAGACTTCGTCGTCGACCGGTTCGGTGTACTCCACCTCCGCGAGGAGGCACTCGTCCCGGCGTCCACTGGAGGAGGAGCGCTCTCCACCAGCCCCGAGCCACTCAACGACATAAACATCGAGACACTCGCGCTTCACCTTAAGCCCATGCTAGGCTCAAACCCCACGGTGAGTCATATAAATATTGTTCTTTACTCACTATTTAACACCTTCCGCTGACTCTTCGGAGGGACCCCGTTGTCCCCACTGCGACCACCGTGCGACTGGTTTCCCTACGACTTCGTGTCCACCGTGGACGCGTCCGCATGAGGGCTCCAAAGGATGCTGACGCCGCCCCCTCTCACGTTCGAGTTTGTGGGGATGGTGGGCTACGCTCCCGTCTCATTCCACGACCTCGTCGATGACAAGGTCGAAAGCGACGGTTCTAGCATTGGCGACGTCGTGGCACCTGGCCACCCTTTGCCCTGGGAGTGCGCTATGACGGACACCCCGAGACAACCATCGGTGGTAGCGGAGTCTCTACAGACTCACACCCCTCCAGACCCTCGTGCGAAGGCCCTGGCTCGTGCGCTGGAGCATGGCGAGGAGTTACGATAAAGGCGACAGAGCCAACCGCCACCTGCGCTGGTGCGCTCAGCGCAGCACGCTACACCACATGCACGTAACTCGGCGAGCGGCGCTCGGGTCGCGCTCGTCAGGTCCAACATAACATCCTAAGTGAAGGGAACGTGTGGGGGGTACGACCCCGGATACCCACGACAGACTACATGGGCTGCGTCGCCAGGGGTGGTCCAGCCCACAAGACAAAGACTTACGGTGCACGGTACTGCTCGGCGTGTATCGCAAGACATCAAGGGCGATATCCTGACGATGATACGAGATCTGTTAGGATGTGCTCGATCCCGTGATTCCTATAATTTGTTATTACTTACCGGTTATCTCCTAGATCTAACCGACTTGTAACCCTACACCCCGGCTATATAAGGCAGGTAGGGGACCCCCTCAAAACACACGTAATATCATATGATAGCCAATACAAAGCAATAGACCACGGGAGTAGGGTATTACGTCGTGTAGACGGCTCAAACCTGTCTAACTCTTGTGTCTCTATTGCCTTCTTGTTCTTGATTACGCGCACCTCCGCCGATCAATCTATCTTCGTGGGATACCCCTCGAAGGACTGCCAATGATATTCTGTCGACAGTTGGTGCGCTAGGTAGGGGCGTGCATGCTGTTTCCATGACGAACAAGATGATACACTTTTCAGGCTCTTCGTCCTCTCCAAAGCCCGCCCAGATCTTTACGGTCGGATCGGTCTCCTAGGTCATCAATGCTGATGGAGACGAAGAGATCATCAAGCCGGTGCAGATCGATTCTGCGCCAACCACACCACACACCTGCAATGGCAGATCCGATCTCGGAACCACTTCCGAGGTCATCTTAACCAACAACTCGTCGCCTGTTGTCCCGCTACTTGAGGAAGCAGGTCGGCAACGATGATCTGATCGCATCCATCGATTAGGTCGGCCAGAAGCTCGCCGACTGCCTCTCACTCACAAAATCGGCTCTGACCACTCCGGTTCTGCGCTGACCACCTTCGGTTCGATCTATCGGAAGCCGACCAGGAAACTCGAGGGCCAGACAATTTCATCAACGCCGACCAGATAACATCATACGCCACCGACTAGATGTTATATCTAAAGCTAAGTCACGCTTTAACATTTTTCTAAATATTCTCCAACCTTCATATATCTCCATGATGTTTCTCCGAGCTGGTTTCTCTATATTTGTTCTCCAAACGATTTTCTTTTATGTATACTATCTTAAAGATGACATACGTTTTTGCCTAAGGCAACTTCCCGAACAGTCATGTTGACACTCGGATGTCCCCAGAGACGGCCCTATCTCTGGCTCCTCCCTACACGTGCACGAGCGTCTGCCCTCTGCGTTATGGGTGGTCGGCAGCGGCTCCTTAGCAATACTTTATTCTTCCTACACGCACACGGGCTCCGTGCTCCGCGTCATAGTTAACAGGCTAGCTAGGGCTGGAGATCCAGCTACAAACTAACTGGTCGGACAGTTTATATTAAATATAAACACATCTTCAGAAATAACACTAAGTGTTCACACCAACTGATTGCCGAGCTACATACGCTATTTCATCACCATTGTTGATTCTTCTCCGGGTTTATATATTTTATTTTTACATCATGTACTACCCATTCTACACATTTGTTTCACAGGGGCGCGGTTCGGTCAACGAGCTTACGCTCAGGAACTGGACAAGATGATCATCGTTCGGGTGGTCGGACCACCTATCGGACGGACTTCACCGCCAACCAACTGGTCGGACTGCTCGGCACTCACTCCT